GAACCAACCACTCTTTCCCAAGTAGCAAAAAAGCATACAGGCGGCGGGGGGCACAGCTCAGTGGTAGAGCGCATGCTTAGCATACATGAGGTCCTGGGTTCAATCCCCAGGACCTCCATTAAAATAGAAGAAAGCAAGCGAGCATACATCGGTGCAATTCGGGCAAGTGCCTTGGTTTACTTAACATATTTAGTGGAGAACTTACTATGTGCTGGATACAGAAAGACTGCAGTAAAAAAAAAGACCCCCAGGGTCCTATTTCCATGGAATTTAGACTCCACGTAAGAGACAATGCATAATAAGTCCGAAAACAACTCAGCAAGATAATTTCAGATATAAGCGCTTAAAAGACAACAAAACAGGGGCATGAGAAGGAATGATGCACAGAGTGAAGGCTACGTTAGTAGTCCAAGAAGACTTCTCAGAGGAAGTGACATCTGAACCGAGTCCTGAATATCTAGAAGGAACCACAGACCCGCAGGGATTAAACACACGAGGCAGAGGGGATAAGAACAGTAATTTCACCATGGTGCTGTTCTGTAGAAGGATCAGGAAAGATACTGGTACCGAGAAAGGATATAAATAGATCCCCAGGGTTTTGTGCATTTGTTTTCCAATCTGTCTTTTGAAAGACAAGGCATTGCATGTATTGAATATGCTCATTGTGTTCAGCACATACAGGAGGCAAAACTCTGAGTGGCTGCCTGTTTCATGCTCTCAGAACGTACTGAAGCCTGAACCATGCCCCTTCAAAGAGCGTTTGCAAACAAGAGGCCAATAAAAAGTCACACGTCCTCTGCTTTCTAATCCTTTACTCCACATTCCCTATCACTCTCTGTGGCATAAGCAGTTCTGACAAAGCAGATCTTTATCTGCATTTGTAACGATCTCCAGAGCGGCTGTAACATCACCCGGAGCATCAGAGAACTGCATGAATCCTGCTTTTACTGGACTTGCTACAAATGGCCCATGGACACTGCTGCATTTTGGAGCTGAAAGGTTTTCCTGAGGTCTGCCAGTCCACTTCCAGCTCCACTTTGTCCACAGCATCTGTGCGTGTCGTCAGTGATAATGGCAATGAGGGATAAAAGAGGGCCCTGATCATCTGGATGGAGGCTTTGTGGCTTTATTCCAAACATAAAACAGGATGGAGAGTTTCCCATTACGGATCCACATTGAGCTTGTCCTCGGAGAATTGACCATGATTCACTAATGCCTAAATGCATCCTGAGATCTTCATACGCTGGTCTGTTGCTCGTATTAGTATCGATTCACTCTTCCCTTGTGGAAGACAGTGTCCCCTAACAGGAACCTGCAGTTTCCACAGAGAAGGAGAACCATGGGGTCTGAACATCCTCAGCTCTACGTAAGAGAGGGGGCTTTCAGAAGCACATACTCCACTCCAGGCAGACAGAAGGACTATTTCCCATCATGGCATCACTGTCGTCTGACTTTAGACTTGAATGTCTCTAAGGGTTTTAATATCACTGCCAAAATCTGCTGAGCAGCACCAGGTTGCTCCCAGGGGGAGCAGAAAAGCAACACAGACTTCAGAATTCTCAGAGAGCACACGCACCTGGGAACAGGGTTCTGGGAACCATTTCACAGCACAGAGCATCCCACGGGGACAGTGGTGAGTGACAGTGAAGCCCTCAGGAAAATGACAGGTGTCTCTCTTAAGCTGTGAATGTAGCTTGGAATTGCGATCAGACAGACCCTTGTCATGATCCACTTATGACCCCATCATAAGCTCCTTTGTTATTCCAGATCCTCCATATGGATGACATGCTCACCTCATAACCTCTCTCTCCTCCCTTTCTTCCCTCCCTCCTTTCCTTCCCCCCACCTCTCTCCCCATCCCTCCTCTCCTCTCCTGGCTCCCCTCCCTGTGCCCCCTTCTCTCATAAACACGTCATCAGCATCCGTATTACAAATGGCTGGACCACCTGGGTCTCTCCAAACAGGCCCTGCTGCCAGCTGCCTCCCGACTGGCCCAGGGGAGCAGACACCTGAGTCGTTCTTCACTTGGGTCCTGGGCCTTGGAGACTGCCTTTCCTCAAACAGTCTTTTCTCACAGGTGGAAACATCCAGAAGCCAACCGTGGGTCAGAAGTGCTTGCTGCTTCCCACTGCCCCACCCTCTGGGGCTTGTTAACCCTGAGACGAAGTCTCATGAAATCTACACACAGCAGTGAAGGAGGCATGACCACCTGATTAAATATATGAAGACATTGACGCTTAAAGAGTTTAAATCATTCGTTGATGTGAAATAACCGGGAAATGAGAAGTCAGGTTCAAACCGAGAAACGGCAGATGGTGAGCCTGGCGCTCTCCTCACCAGGCTACGGCCAGGCTGGAAAACCTGAGGATTAGACACAGTGCTCACACATGCAGATACACACCTGCTACTGGTGTGAATATATATGCATCAAAGCTTTGACATTTCACTTCAAACATGTGAGATGACCCTGGTTTAACACCTACCTTCTTGGACACAGATTCCCCCCCTCAATACACCCATCACTCCCCACACCTGCTGGGAAGAGCACACAGCATAGAACACCGCATGTCCCTCCAGAGCTTCTTATAAAGTCCTGCATTCTGGCCCCTTTGACAGAGAGGCTCTGAGCTCTCCCTTGGGGCCTCAAGGACCTCTCTTCCTGCAGAGGCCCCTGTGATCACCGCAGCCCAGCCTCCTCCCACCGGGACGTCGCTGGCTTAGGAGGGAAGGGGAGGAGGGGCGTGTTGCTAAGTGCCCAGCCCTACCTGGCCTCAGACCACGGGAGTGACGGGATGAGGTCAGGGAAGGGGAGGCTCTGAACCGCCAAAGCTCTACCGCCCAGTACAACGGTGGCCAACTTACCTTGAACGATACAGGCACCCAGGTAGGCGGCATCGGAAAAGGAGCAGAGCAGTCGACCATGGAAAATATCTCTCTTAATTTGCAGGTACAAAAGGTACCTGTAACACAAAAGCAGAAAGAGTCGTCCTAATGTTTGGCTGAGGCCTAGAAGAAGAAGTCTTGTTCACGCCTCCTCCACAGTTACCAGAGCCCTGCCCACGCCCCTCAGGGGGCAAGCTGGGAAAACCCTCAAGTGTCTGTAGCAGCATCCAAAGCCGCGTGGCTGGTCCCTTCCAGAGAGACACGCCAAGGACCGAGGAGAGCCACAGGGCCTGGCAGTCACTGTCCCTGGTAGGAAGTCCCACATGATGACAGCCCCAGCCACTGTCACCGCCACCCGCATCTTAGGTACAGGCTGCCCAAGCTCTTTGTGAAACAGAGAGTCTGGTCTCAGGGGCAGACAGACTCACATTAACCCATCTCAAAAAGACTTGGTTATGAGGCTGGGAAGCTAACTTACTCACAGCTTGAGATGTCATCTGTTTAACATGCTCTCTCCCTCCCCAGGGATGGGAGACTAAGCTGACTGCAGGGCCAGGCAGGCCTGAGACCAGGGAACGTGGGCTGGCGATAGGGCGTCGGGGACCAGAAACGAGGGTACTGGCTCCCATGAAGGGGTCAGCCCAGCACCGCCCTGGAAGCCAGGCCAACGATGGCCAGCTTCCCCGGGACATCACCAAGCCTGGTTTAGAAGTGGAATCCTTTGAATTTTAAACATCGCAGCAAACTATTTTTGAAAACACTGTAGCGCCAAATAAAAAATACTCATGGGCCTGATTCAGTGGGGAAGGGGGTGGGGGGACAAGCCAGTTACCAGACCCTGGTTCAGGCTCATCTTGTCACTGTCCCCTCGTTCCCCTACACTGATTAAGCCCCCTTCAGACCTCCTGGTACTTCTTAGGCAGGTTGATTCTTTCACCGAAGGCTCAGGCCTGGGGACTATTGTTTCTGACTAAAGTAATTTTGCAGATGTGTGCAGATTCTTTGTTTTAGAGTTTAAGTCTCAGTGGCCCATCTTTTTTTTTTTTTTTTGCTTTCCAGGTTCTTGAGGCCCAGGCGGATGCACCACCCAGTCAATCCCAGTCACTGCCTCCAGTGCTCAGATAACCTGATCTTTACTCAGCCTGTGAGGAACCTCACACGCAACCCGGGTCAGAGTGTGACTGAGATGCCCCGATCACACAGGTGCTGCCACCCTAGCTCCCGAGCACTGGAGCTCACCATCTCCGGACACACCAGATGCACTGAAGGGTTCAGTGGCTCACTGGTGGTTCCATCTGATGAATCTTTGTCTCACACCTGCTTTATGCCATGACAGAGCTAGGCACTGGGGGCACAATGGAGGCTCCAATGATACTCTGTATGGAACTATCCCCAACTCTGTATGGAACTGTATACAGGACATAAAGGTAGGCCCTAATAAATTTCTTTTCTGCAAGTTGGTGCATTTTCTCACAGGACCAGTATCACACTTGGTAGACAAGGACCCAGAGCATCTCCCTAAACAGGTGCTTCTCCCTTCAGTCAGTTACCCGGAGCTCCTGTTAGCACGTGGGTTCTGGTTCAGCAGGTCTGAGCGGGGCACGAGAGTCCACGTTTCTAATTAGCTCCCCGGTGATGCTGAGCTGCCGTCCTGTGGACCACACTTGGGTAATAAGCCTCTAAACCAGAGGTTCTCAGCCTGACTGCACCTTAGAATCACCTAGGGGAGCTTTGAAATACTATCACTGTTTAAACCGGGACCCTACCCTAGACCCAATTAAATCAGAATCTGGGTCCTCACCAAAAAATGTGTACATGAGTCTTCACAACAGTGTTATTCATACGAGCTAAAACGTGGCTATCAACTGATGAAAGGAAAAAGGGAGGTGGTCTGTCCATACAGTGGAATATTATTCAGCCATAAAAGGGAGGAAGTACTTACTGATTCATGCTACAACATGGATGAACCTTGAAAACAGCAAGCTAGGTGAAAAGCCAAAGACAAAAGGCCATGTATTATATGATTCCATTTGCATAAAATGCTCAGAATAGATAAATCTAGAGAGACAGAAATGTAGCTTAGTAGCTGCCAGGGACTGGGGGGAGGGCAGAATAGGAAGGACTGTTTGAGTGCTGGTTTCAAACGTGGGTGATAAAAATGTTCTGGGAGTAGGTCACGGTGATAGTGGCCCAACTTTGCGAACATACTAGACCCACTGAATTGTACACATTAATATCTGCCAAAAGAAAAGAACACTTTCGAAAATCCAATTGTCTTGGAGGAGCAATTCTCAAGTTCTGACATGCTTTAAAACCTCCTGGAGATAGCAGGGCCCCATCCCAGGCCTGAGGCAGCGGTCAAGTTCTGGGGTGATGCTGCTGCCGCTAACCTGGGGACCCGACTTGGGGGACCATGGCCTTAGCCCACTCAGAAGATCAAGGTCACACAACTCCTTGAAATGAGGAGATCTTTCCTTTCATAAAGACTGGAAACTACCAGGCTAAATGCCATGAAATTTCTTTTCTATGTGCTGAATGTACGCATTGAATAAAAAGCGTTCCTTTCTATGTTTTGGTGTGCTTAGGAGTAAAAAACAGCTTCAAATAAATATTTACTGATGAACGAGAGGTTTGGGTTCTAATCCCGTAACTCAGAAATCATGTTTGATGAAAGCTCCCTGAAGAAAGAAAATCAGCTCACAATAGCCGAGTTTGGGTCTGTGCTCATATTAGTGAACTCTACAGATGGGATCCGGGATTACTGTGGATTCCACATAATCCACTGAGCCTTACAAATGGCTTCAGGTTCAGATACTCAATTTTTAATACCACAGTCACCACAGAAAACAATAAAAATGCATTTTCCTTTAGTCTCGCCCCTCCCTGCATGAAGGAATTAAGCAACAAAAACACAAGAGGATCTGAGGTACACATCATTACGCCACCATTAATGATACACTTCTCGATCTAACATGAATTTAAAGATGATTCTGACTGAAAGATTTAAATCCAACAGGCTTTATTACATTCAATTGTATATAGCATTTACAAAAGCCCCAGAAATCTAAAGGACTGTAAGATGACCGTGTAAATGGAGAGATAGAGAAGGATTAAAAAATGATTTCACACGTCCTTTCTGGTGAGTATTTTTACTGTTTTGCTCGTTTAAAACTGCTTTTTTTCTCATTTTTTTTAAACCCCTAAGCCTGGTCATGAATGTGATCTTAGCTTCTCATTTATCAAATTCTTCTTAAATTTTAGATTAACCTTACAATAAAACAACTTATCAAACAAGAAAAACTAAACTCTCTCAAGACAGGGTTTAAATCATGAGTACATGCATCATCCCATGGTTTCCAGATTCCTTTTGAATTCTAAGAACCGTGTTGACTTAAAAAGGCCATTTCTGTCTGTGCAAGGACACAGCATTGTCTTAGTTTCCTTTAGAGACATAAAAATGCTCACAATGATCCACTATTCATACCTTAGCTATTCAGTCAAACGCAGGGAAATGCCAGCAGATTTAATGGAGACGGACTTAACTAGGGTTATTAACTAAAACTTTGTACTCTCTTACTTTCAAATGGAACTTTTCTCAACAACAACAACAAAAACAACAAAAGATCCATCCTTAATTTACATTGTGACAGATATCCAATTTTTAATCTCCAAACAAGATTTTAAAGAAAATAAATGACAAAAGTGAGTCATTTGGTCCCTGACGAATTAATGCCTGGCGTTAGCATTTGATTTAGAGGGCAAGACTAATCTCTCTCTCTCCCCCTCCTATCTGTCTGTCTGTCTGTCTATTTCTGGTAGCTCATACAGCTCCTGCCCCCTGAGCTATGCAGATAGTAGGAACTGAGGAAGAACTTAATAAATAGGTGAACAAAATTTTCAAGCCAAAAGCAAGCCAAAGCCCCATACTGTTCAATTCCATTTACATGAAATGTCCAAAACAGGTTAATCCATACAGACAGAAAGTAGGTTGGTGGTTTCCAGGGGCGGGGGTGGAGGGAGACGGAGTGAGTAGTGACTGCTAATGGATACAGACTTTCTCACTGGGGTGCTGAGAAATGTTCTGGAACTGACAGTGGAGATGGTTGCGTAACATTGTGAGTGGACTTAATGCTGCTGAATTGTATCCTTTGAAATGGTGGAAATAATTTGTTATGTGAATTTACCTTAATTAAAAAAAAGAAAAGGCCAGATGGCATAACACCAACCACCACTCACAACGTCCATCAACTACATATCCCCTTTCCCCCCAACACACACCTGCTGCCCCGCCCCCAAGCGTCAACCTCCGCCAATGGCTGTGCGCGAACTAACAGCAGACACCGCCTACGTTCCAATGTCACCTAGCGTGGCTACTGTGGAGCTTTACCGGACACTCGTGGATAACGAGAGAGCACAATATCCAAGCACCCTTTATGGGCCCTGAACACGATGATCAGGGCACACTGCATTTGCTTCTCTGCTGCATTCGGACCCACGCAGATTATTCTGAGAGATGACTAGACACAATGATTTTTTCTGTCTCCAACATAGAGCCTCATCAAAAACTAAGCATGCACGGGCTCTTCTCCATCCACCGAGCTGGCCCTCCCGGAACCCCGCTCAGCATTGGCCAAGGCTGTTAGCGGAAGCCAAACCCCCAAATCCACGGACTGTTTGCATGTGGCCCTGACAGAGGGAGATGAGGCAGGAGGAGGCTCGAGAGCTGGAAAATGCATAGTTGGGCTGAGAAGAGTCTAGGAGGGGAGAGAAGCCGGCCCTCCCCCGAGTTGGGTCAGTTTGCAAGTGGAATGTGGGATGACACACAGCCCATTCTATCAAGGGATCTTCTCCCTCCCAGAAAAGCTTAAGATCCAAAAGATAGGCCGCAGGGCTGCACTAGCTATGAATTTGCCCACATCCTAAAGACAGTCATCTTCTGTTTATTTTTAGCACCCCACTGTCAGATGTTTTCAGAGAGCACCTCCTCCTTATACCCACTGCTTCTCTGTGCAGTTAATTACACTCCCGATGACAACTGAAAAATCCCAAGACAATTAAGTGCAAGAGAAACATTCCAAGCCAGGATGCTGAGCTGCTCAGTGGAGACGTTCTGCGCTAAATGGGAGTCACTGCTGGCCGGTGAGACTCGGGGGCCCTGGCTGGTTCAAGGTGCACATTAAACATACAAACAAACAAAAAATACCTTGTGAGCTCTTCTTTAATCTTCAGGGGTTCGTGTGGGTAGAATTTCACTCTAAAGCACATGGTGTATGGTGGATGAGCTGAAACATCATAAAGAAAAAGCATGAGAAGAGCAGCAAAAGACCATGGACTCAAACACACACAGGAGAGTCAGCCATGAAGCCTTGCAGCCTAGCCTGGGGAGGGGAGCGGGGAGAGGCAGGTGCACGGCGATGTTCTGAAAGAACAGGTATTATGCCCAAGAAAACAAAGCAGAGAAAACGGTGACAGCGAAACTCAATGGAAATGCTTAACAAGACGCCCAAAACAAACGCGGGACACAGGCAGGTGTCAGTCAGCACGGCTTTCCACGTCCTGCCTCCTTCCTTCTCTCCAGGTCACAGCTTCAAATAACATTTTCTCCTCTGATTCCTCCCACCCCCTTCTGATGGATAAATTGCTCCTGAGCACCATTCAGATTGTTGGCCCAGTGAAATATTCTTTAGCCTGTGAGGTGGAAAAATGTCACTGCACAGGACTAGCTTTCCCAAAATGATGGTGCCTTTGAACTCAGATCAAGATTTAAGAAATGGAGTCAGCCAGGCACAGATCCTTTGTATAATTTTAGTATTATTTTAGTGTTATCAATGAGGCAGTCGTTTGCATGAAAAGAAACACTTTTTATAACTTCCTGCTTTGAATCAAGACAGCACTATGCAGACTGAAATTCTGGCTGAGGTTCGTGATTCTGGAATGTTCTAATTGCATTAAAATATCCGGAGCCCAATAACCAGCTAAGGGGGTTCTATGGGATTTCTGATCCCTTTAATTACAAGACCACTGCTGTTGACTTGCAATATTAACCTTATAAATGCACACAAGTGTGGTAACGATGTATTTAGATTTCAGTTAGTATGTAAAACAAGCACCTTAAAATCAAAGAAATACAACGATTACCATTATTATTTCTACGGATCTGACATTCCCACTTATTCATCATTTTGTCACTGTGGCTGCTTGGGATCAGTTCTGACTCTACATCCAAATGTGAATATGAAACAGCATCCTATTCTCCCTCAAATCCTCTTCCATAATAAGCAGGGGTTCAATCACCAGCCAATTCTACAATGTCTGGGACTATTCTGTATGCAGACAAATTCTTTATGTATAAAGGACCATCTGCATCAAACATAAATGTGTAACAAGGATAATTTAATATAGAAGACAATTCTTTAAAATAGTTTGAAAGAAAGCATCCAAATCACAGGGAAACACAGCAGCGTTTTGCTGGATATCTCAGCAGAGAAAAAATGGATTAAAAGTACAAACACACACAGATGTCAGAACCCTCCATTCAATGCTCCACCCTCTGCCCTAGAAACTAGCAAATTTCTTAACTCAGTCGGGTGCTCCCAAGCTGATCCTGTGTTCCTTAGATTTAAGAAAAGGAGTATTTTTCTGGAGCACTAGGAGAAAATGGCACTTATACAGCAAAGAAAGAATGAAGAAAAATACAAATGATTCTTGTCATTCATCTTTCACAATATCTAGAAACTCAGTTTTGACTCAAAATCTTTTATTTTTACACATTCCCCAGATTTCTTTTAATTTGTTTAAATCATCACCTCTAAAAGATTAAAACTAACAGTATACATATTTTTTAATTATAAAACTTCTGGAGTGTCATTAATAGAAAAGCTGAGACAGTTTCTATAAGAACAACAGAGCAAAGAAATGAAAATAGCCTAAAAGAGAAAGGATTTTTCTCCTTTCTTTCTTCTTATCTCTGTTAAAGTCATCAAAATTGATACATGCTGAAGCACAACCAATGAAGCCAGATAGACAGACAGACAGATGATAGGGAGATAGATGGCTGACTGACAGAGACACGAGCCTTCCCCTTTCACTTCCCTTCACTCGGTCCCTATTCCTGCCCCTTCTGTCCCTCGGGTCCCCACCTCACCCCAAACTCCCCCACCACTGGTGACCACTTCATCTCTATCCTTCCCCACTTTTGCCGTTCTCATACAAAATATATGCCAACATGATTATATATGTAAGGAATTTTTAAATATAATTGAATCTCACAAAATAAGATCATACTGCATATGTTTCTCTAGCTTTTCTCATTTAACTCTATACCCTGCCCATCCATCCAGGGCAGTAGATAAGCGCTAACTCACTGTCTGTAATAACTGCCTGAGCGTTCACATGATACACTAGAATTTACTCCACTATTCCTTTTTAATCATCATTCAGGTTGCTTCCACATTTTAATATGCAAACAATTCTATTCTATTATATGTACATCTGTGGATATATTATTAAATACATTTTTATTTCATATATCATTAAATATTTCATATATTATTAAATATATATTTTAATATAGACTCCCAATATTTGAATCTGGGGGAATAAAATCAGCTGACTGAAGGCAAAGAGAGGAAAGGAGGATCACAGAAGGCAGACCCCAATGAGAGCTGTCATTTTGTCTCCTATCTGGGCAGCTTATCTGCCTGCATGCCCTAGGCTGGCTTCAGTAGGTACCTGAGCTCACCAGACACAAATGGGGATTTGCGTTCTTCCTAAGGGATCAAGCAGTGAGGCTCAGCGGCAGCTTCCCGGGCGGCCATCTTTCAGTACCCCTGACTGTAGGAAGTCCTTCCACCCCAGTCATCCTTGTCCAAGACCTGAGGCTCCAGAATGAGCTAATGCTTCTCCCACACGGAGAGCCCTTCCATCAGTTGATGACAGTGCTCACAGCCCTTCCGAGTCTTCTCTAAAATAAATATCCCCAGTTCTTTTAACTGCTCCTCATATGAAACAGTTTCAAGTGCCCTCACCCTGAGTGTATTCCTGTCTCCTCTGTGTTTCTTCAAGCCAAGCAGGGGGCCCCAGGGGTGGTCACAGCCGCTCACGTGAGGGGACCATCACCGGCCTCACCCTGGACGTGCCTGTTGCTCCCTCTCAACAGCTTCAACTCAATGCTGATTCACTCTGAGTTTACAATAGACCAACATCCATAATTCTTTTCATATATGCTGTTGCTGAGTCACACAGAAGCAGCCACTAAGCTCCTGACATCTCCCTCTATCTTCGAGGATGTGACCATGGAGGAAATTAATACAAGGTACTAGCGATATGCTCACCACCAGACCTCTCATCAGAGGGATGAGAGCGGGTAGCAGAAAAAGCAAGTGGTGGCACTTTCAAGTCTGAGACTTTCTACCCATTTTCTTCTACCATCCTACACACCCCTGCTGTGTCTTTCTCTCATGTTGATCCAGCATCCCTGATCCCATGTCGCCCATAAAAGAAAAACTTTCCCTGTAGGTTAAAAGGAGCACGTGATTTTGACAAAATGAACCACGGGCAGCATCAGGGACTGGTGCCCACGAGAAGCTCAGCCTCACCGCCTGGGCCTGAAGAGGCTGCTGTGGCAGCGGGCTTCTCCTTGAAGAACTCACTGAAGGCTCCAGATGCAAAACTGTATCATGCAGCCAGCAGTCAAGCTAAGGAATGCTTCTTCACAGGGTTGGAATGGGGTGAAAAGATCATTTTCCCCCGCCCCAGTGTTTATCTAGTTATGGATGACAAGGTTTACAAGGGTCTGGACCTGTCTGTCTTGTTCGGGTTTTATCCCCAGAGCAAATTATTGATAAAAGACTATCTCTCCATCTGCCTGGTTGAACAAATGCATGATGATGCTCAGCCTTTGAGGCAGATGTCAGGGTGGACAGCCGAGCCTCGCCATCACATTCATCCCATCAGAATACTGGCCTAGAAGGTCCAAAGCCTGAATCACGACAGCAATTTCTAGGATTTATATTTTGAAAACCTCACGTCCTATAACTCAACCTCTGCTCTTCAACATCTGGGACAAATTCAGGGACTCTGGAGTAGGTTAGAACAGCGACTTCTAGAGGGAGGATTAATTAATTCAATCAACAGATTTGTTTTGAGTACGTACTAGGCACAGGTTTAGATGAAAACACAAAAAATTCTGTCCTCATGGAGGACACATTCTTGCGGAGTAAACCCACAAAAGTACGGTAAATCAAAATAAATAAGTGACATACATGGGACAGTGGAAGGTCGTAAATGTTATGGAGAAGAATAAGGGATTTAAAGGCTGAGAGAAGACCACCCCCACTTCTGTTCCCTTTTCTTATCACCAGGCAATCAAATCCATGCAGGCAAGTGCAATTCTCTTTACTACCTTCTAGAAAACTAAATCAGGGGAGAAATACAATTATTTAAAATTTTAAATCATTAAAGAACCCACCCCCCCCCACCCATATATATTGACGCTGGTTTGGGGTCAGAAGCTTTGCTGTGGAGCACGGGCGTGCGCCCACAGCTGCTGTGTAAATGCTGGAAAAGGAGCCTCCCCGGGTCCCACCTGACCGCCGGCACATCCTCCCTGGCACGTGTCTAAGGTCGAAATCCCCTTGTGGAGATGAGCCTATCCCCTTCTCCAAGCAGCTAAGTGTCTCAGCTCATTCCAGCTTCCACATCTTCTTATTCTTAAGCTACAGGGAAAGGGGAATGAATGAAGCAAAGGATGACTCTGACCTGTGCCAAACATTTGGCGCAGAACCAGAGTTGGAAATGCCTGACGAGGGAGCGGGAGCCACGTGGTACGGAGGTAACACGCAGGCAACGAAGCCCACGCTGTGCTCGGGGGCCCTACCCCAGCAGTGGCCTCACGAGCAGGCACCAGCGCCTTCACCAGATTGGGCGGCATGGTCATCCCCCAGAGGACGACGCTATGGTTCATTTCCACTGCGGTACTAAGGCTCCAGCATCAGTGACAGGAGCACATGGGGTGGTGGGAACCCTAAACCCCCCGGGGGATCAGTGCCCAAACTTTGAAAGGGACTTCCAACAGTGACCTTGAACAAACCACTTAACTTCTCTGCTTCCTGCTCTGGAAGAGGGGCGAACACTGGGGGCCATGGCAACCTCCCCGGAGGTGTTTAAACAGACCCACTGGGCTCTTGGCAGGTGCACACGGCACAGTATCCCAACAAAACAAAAGCTCACACTTAGGTAAACACTCCCACCAGGAGAAAAGAAGAGGACGGTGGAAACAGGA